GTACATAAATAAAAGTTCAATATTTACAAGTCATAAACAAAAATATACATTAGAATTTAACGTAGATAATTACAAAGTCAAAATACATGAAGTCTTGATTAACAAATCACTCTCACACCAAAAATCTTGAGAATATGATCCTAGTTTAGATCAGTCTTCATCAAACCAGCTCTTTATTTCTTTTCTTTCTTCTTATGTTAGATATTCATCATAATGGTCTTCAGTGTCAGCTATGACCTTTGTGCTGGTTATCGGCTCTCTGGCAAAACTGATTGGTCTTCTCAGATGGTCATGGTCATGAAAGGTATATATGTAGTTCACAACAGCTGTTGTTCTAACTATCCCTCTATATACATACAAACTAAGGGTATGATGGATCCTACCAATAGTAAGGTAAGCAAAGAGAATATTGTATCCTACTGTGATCTCTACAGAAAATACCTTTCTAGATCCATGTTCACTAGTTATAACTAATTTATAGTGACAGACTCTTTGTCATTCCCTAAATATGTCATTCATTCTACTCTCAAAACTTCACTTAGTTAGTCTAACTGGTCTTTGAGGGGTGATCATTTTTATTTGCTAAAAATATAAGGATGAGTCTTCTCCTCACTAATAAAATATAACTAAACAATTGATTAAATAATTTCACAACGTACAAAAAATTACAATAACAAACATATCAACAATGTCATAAAACATATACTATAATTATACAATTTGATATGTTATTCATATGCATACACCCTTTCTAGTACACTATGATCATAGTCTTTTCGCACTTTGAATACTCTTAGAGTCTTTAACATGTATAGATAGTCGCTGATTAATCGCCGTAACACAGATATAACGTATGCAAACTTAGCCTCTTAGCAAAAGTATTGTCAGGAGTTTAGTTAGAAAATAAGCACGAGGCCTGTGATGCTTTCACTTTCCTTAATTTATATCCAACCACTATGAATAACATTCACCACCCTAAATTTCCAAACTGTCTCCTATCTTCTATACTCTCAGTGTATTTTTATAACTATTTACACCAATTTCTATCACATTCACACTACGCCAGAAATTGGCTTTTCAAGCGCCAAATTAGATAGCGATTAGTAATAACCGCTTTGTATATAAATCTAAGAGAGCAGTTCTGACAGAACTGCTCTCTAATATGTACTTATGAGAGCGGGTCAAACGAAACCGCTTTCTAACATGAACTTGTAAGAGTGGTTCAACTGGAACCGCTCTCTAAAATGGACATCTGAGAGCGGTTTATATGGAACTGCTCTCTAAAATAGACTTTTGAGAGCGGTTCATATGGAACTGCTCTCTAAAATAGACTTCTTAGAGCGGTTGTAAAATAACCGCTCTAAGAAGTCTATTTTAGAGAGCGGTTATATTGAACCGCTCTCAGATATCCATTCTCAGAAGTTGTATTTTTAAAACACTAACTGGGTTATCCCTGTCGCCTCGCCAAGCCTGTACTTCAAAATTCTCTGTTTCAGTGTTCTTTGAGAAATTTTTTGTAGAGGAAGAAGCACACCTGACATCGCAATCGCACATTGAAGGTATATTTATAATTTTTTCTTTGTTTTCTGGCCATTTTTGGACATTCGTAATCTCTCATTCTCTCTGTTCACTGATACGTATCTCTATTTTTGACATTGAACAATGACAATGTCTCCTCCATTTCTGGTCTCCTGCTAAACTGCGACAAATTTGCACTCGTTTCTTAATTCCAGGTTAGTGCATGCTGTTGTGTTAATAATTTGTATGAACTGAATATTGTTTACATGTTGACCATTGCTGCCGCGTGAACAAATGAGCATGAAATGACTTGACTTTTTGTAAAAGTTGATATGGGCAGGTTAAATCTTAGTTTGTTAACCTCGAAAATGTTGTTGGAATTGTTTTTTAGGATTTGTTGAACATGATATTAGGACATAGCTGGTTAGTTATAATGGAAGAGCATGTTGTTGTGTTTGTTAACCTATGATATTAGGCATTTAAAAATTTTGATATCCTTGTTTGTTTTGCCCCCAAAATGTATATTTCCTCTGTGTATGAATGAATTTGATGTTGTATTGTAGAATGTGATGAATGCATGATTATTGTTAGTGATGAAACTTTGTAGGTTATGATTTACTGTTGTAAAATTTAGTGAAACCATAGTTTCTCGTTTGAGATTGAAAATAATGTTTTAATAAATCATTATTTTGAATCTCAAATTGTCCAAGTTGGACAGTTTGTGAACAAACTTATTCATTAATTTGTTAGCATTTGCTTCTCATAATGTTGTATTTAATACTTAACAAAATTTGAGTTTGAAACATTTCTCATTGTCTCTTGGTGCATGCTTGATTGAGGTAAATCATCTCATATATTTCAAGTTGTGTACTAGGAGACTAATGCAAAATGCTGCCCAAATTTTGTCAAGTAAAATATACAACATTTAAGTAGCATTTGTTAAATTAAGGTTGGAAAAAGTTTGTTCTCAAATGGGATAGGGCCCTACCATGTGAGAGTTAATAAGACATTCACATTTATAATGATCGTAACCGTAGTTGGAACAAATATGGATCGAAGTTGGATGGTAGTTGATCGTTTAAGTGAAGAATACGAAGACAGAGTCAAAGAGTTTATTAGATTTGCGATTAAGAATGCAACTGATGTCAACCTTATTCCCTGTCCTTGTTGGTGTTGTTTGAATATGTTACAAGTAAATGCGGAAGAATTGGAAGAACATCTAATGTGCAATGGGATAGATGAAAAATATGCTTGTTGGACAAAGCACGGTGAGATACAAGGTGGAAGTACATCAACTAACATGGAATCAAGTGTCAATTACTTAGAGACATTTAGAACAAATGAGAGTGATTATGCTAAACAAATTCCAAATGTTGTTGAAGAAGATCATAGAGATTGTCCAAAGATGTTTGAGAGGCTGAAAGATGATACAGAAACACCATTGTATAATGGATGTACAAAGTTCACAAGATTGAGTTCTGTTTTAAAGCTTTATAACACTAGTGGAAAAAATAAATTTAAAATCACACTTTTAAAATCGGTTATTAAGTAGTCGATTTTAAAAATGACGCGGTGGCAATTTTGTAAATAATTGCTAGCGTTTTAAAATCAGTTGTGTATGTCTGATTTTAAAAGATATATATAAAATCGGTTTTTCTATTAATCGATTTTAAAAGATATATATAAAATCAGTTTTCTTATTAACCGATTTTAAAAGATATATATAAAATCAATTTTTCTATTAACCGATCTTGTATGATTTTTTATACAAATATCTCCCTTTATTGAGTCATTCTCGCAGCAGAGGAGCCCCTTCTCGTTCCAACGCTTAGCAAAGACCTAGGCAAGTTAGAGATTTGCTCTCGGATTCCCATCCATTAATATAATAGATTTGCTCCGGGCCGGCAATTGCTCCTCAGGCTTCCTTCCAGCGGAGAAGAGCAAAGCAAAGTCTAGCGTCTTGGCCTACCTACTAAAGAAGGAGTTTTCTCAAAAAAAACTCAGGATTTGGAGAAGGTTGAATGAGCGTCTCGGCCTATCTACTAAAGAAGGAGGTTTTCTAAAAAAAACTCAGGATTTGGAGAAGGTTGAAAGGTGGGGGCAGGATTCAAAGCTGCAATCTTTAGGTCGGAGGCAAGTGCACGCATTTTAGGTAATGTATTCACTTCTTTCGCTGTTTTGGATGCTTTTTCTTTATCTGGACTTGGTTTTACGTTCTAAATTAGATGCCGATAGTAACGTTCGTGAATGCATCATTCACAATGACATCTTTTTTGGTTTCCTGAATGACCGTTGCTTATTTTTAATAGGAAATTCAAGGTTGAATAATAGAGATGATCAATTTCTTTGAAGAGATAGTGTTGTTAAGTATTTACACACTAGGAATTATCAGTAGAAAATATGGGATTTATATGTTAGTTTAGAAAATACTGACGAGGAATTATAATTTTAATTGTGGTGATAAAAATAAATAAATGAATTACTACTTTTGTTGTAATGAATCTTAAATAATTTGACATTTTTCTAATTATTTAAAAATAAAAAAGACGTCAATATTTTTTCGTTTAAGGAGCATTAAGCAATTTTATTAATGGGAAAGTGTTGTATATTGTTATGATGTTTAATGGGTAATTCAATTGAGTGAAACAAATGGGTGAGAGAGGTAAGTGTGAAGGAGTGATCTCAGATGGCAAAGCTACAAAGGTGACAGGGGGGTGTGGCCCAAAGAAGGCATTTTGGAGGGGTGGCTCTGATTAAAGTTAAAACATAAATGGTGGCTAGTGTTCATAGGAGTTCTGCTACTTTGTTAATTAGTTTAATATTCCATATGTAATGCTTTTGTCTCGTAAGTTTGATATATTTTACTCTCAATAATTTTATCAAGCCACGTTTACCATTTATCACTGTGGTAAGGGAATTTTTGTGGGAAGTAATGCTTATTAATTAAATAAGTTTTTCAATTTAACATTTAAAAGTAAAATTATTGTGTAAATAAGTTCAACAAAATAATTGTTCGCAACCTTCACATTTTATTTACGGTAAGGGAAAACAAAAAGAAGGATGAATGAATAGTTGTGGATCAAAAAGGACATGTTAGCTTAGCTAGCTAGCTAGTTAGGGGCTTTCTTTAAATTCCCTTTAGTTGCTTTCAAAAGGAAAATGGGATTCCATAAAGTTTATTGTTCTTTGGTTCTTATTCTGCCACAACTGTAATTGCCATTCAACAATTTTGGTTTAAGAAGTTTCTAAGTTTGTTTAGATTTGCATCCACAACTATTATAAATGTTTAAATTTTTATTATAATTATATGATATTTATTAGTAACAAGTGTTTATAAAGATTAGGTACTTTATTTAATTTTTATAAATTAATATGATATTAAATTTATGCATGAATTGATTGAATCTTAGTTTCTTGTTTGAGATTTAATACAAATGAGACTGACAAGCATGATATATGATTTTTTATAAAGAACAGAAGTCATGGATAAAAGTTGGTTATTGAATCGAAGTTGGATACATGAATCACGCTTAAGTTGGAAGTATGAGACGGGAGTGGAATACTTTATTGAATATGTAATACAGAATGCTAATAATGATATGAATGGGAAATTTTTCTGTCCTTGTGTTAATTGTTGTAATGGAAGTCGTCTAGAACTTGATGTTATAAGGGAACATCTTCTCTGTGATGGTTTTCTTAAGAATTATACACGTTGGATATGGCATGGTGAAAATATTGACATTCCAACTGTCTCAATTGAAACTCCAACTCAAACTTTTACACAAGAGATAGATATGGATGATCAACTAGAGGAGATGATTCGTGATGTGGGTCCAAAATCATTCCAGCGAGCACATATGTATGAATCTTTGTGTAGTGATTCGGAGAAGCCGTTGTATCCAAATTGCACGAAATTTACAAGATTGTCAGCGATGTTGAGATTGTTCAATCTGAAGGCAAGAAATGGGTGGAGTGATAAAAGCTTCACAGAATTGTTAGAACTATTGAAAGAAATGCTTCCGGAGGGTAATACATTGCCTAGTCGTAACTACGAGGCAAAAAAGGTGTTGTGTCCTATGGGTTTGGAGTATAAGAAGATACATGGTGCCCAAATGACTGTATGTTGTATCATGGTGAATATGAAGGGTTGCATCAGTGTCCAAGATGTGGGTTGTCACGATATAAAAAAAAGCAAGATGATTCTGATTATGATGTGAGCACTAAGGGTCCTCCAGCTAAGGTTTTATGGTATTTACCAATTATTCCAAGATTAAAACGTCTGTTTGCTAATGGGGATAACGCAAAGCTAATGAGATGGCATGAAGATGAGAGGAAGTGTGATGGACAACTTAGGCATCCAGCAGATTGCTTACAATGGAAAAAAATTGATTCTATGTTTCCACATTTTAGCAAGGAGCCAAGAAATGTTAGGCTTGGACTAGCTACGGATGAAATGAATCCGTTTGGTAATTTAAGCACTAAGCATAGTTCATGGCCTATTTTATTGGTAATTTACAATTTACCTCCTTGGTTGTGTATGAAGCGCAAATATGTGATATTATCTATGATGATTTCTGGTCCAAGGCAGCCCGGAAACGACATTGATGTCTATTTAACTCCATTGGTTGAAGACTTGAAGATGTTATGGGAGAAGGGAATTGATGTGTACGATGGGTATTCATGTGAATCATTCAAGTTACATGCCATGTTATTTTTCACAATCAATGATTTTCCAGCATATGGAAACTTGTGCGGGTATAGTGTTAAAGGGCACAAAGCTTGCCCTATATGTGAAGAGGACACTTGTTACCATCAACTAGTTAATTGGAAGAAGACAGTTTACCTTGGTCATCGAAGATTTCTTCAACCTAACCATCCATATCGAAGGTTAAAGAAAGCTTTTAATGGATGTCAAGAATATGGCATAGCACCTATTGCATCAACCAGTGAGCAAGTTTATGACCGGGTAAAGAATTTAAATGTGGTACTTGGAAAGTTGAAAAAACAACCCAAAGAAAAAAACATATGAAAGAAAAGGTCAATATTTTTTTATCTTCCTTACTGGAAAGTTCTTGATGTTAGACATTGCATTGATGTCATGCATGTTGAGAAAAATGTATGTGATAGTGTAATTGGCACACTTCTCAATTTAAAAGGTAAGACAAAAGATGGACTCAAATCTCGTCTAGATTTGCAACTCATGGGAATACGAGAACAATTGTATCCCCAACCTATGGGTAAGCGAACATATTTGTCCCCTGCATGTCACACATTGTCAAAAAAGGAGAAAACAAGTTTTGTGAGTCCTTATGTGGTGTCAAAGTGCCGTACGGTTACTCTTCCAATGTAAAAAGTTTAGTATCAATGAAAGATTTGAAATTAGTTGGCTTGAAGTCTCATGATTGCCATGTACTAATGCAACAATTTCTTCCTATCGCTATACGTGATGTTTTACCTAAAAATGTGAGACAAGTCATAATCAGACTTTGTCTATTTTTCAATGGCATTTGTAGTAAAGTAATTAATCCTCAGAAGTTGGATGATTTGGAAAATGAAGTTGTTTTAATATTGTGTCAATTGGAGATGTATTTTCCTCCTTCCTTTTTTGACATTATGGTTCACTTAATCATCCACTTGGTTAGGGAGGTTAGGTTGTGTGGTCCTGTCTTTTTGAGGTGGATGTACCCAGTTGAGAGATACATGAAGATATTGAAAGGGTATGTGAAGAACCAACATCGTCCAGAAGCATCCATTATAGAAAGGTATATTGCAGAAGAAGCAATTGAGTTTTGTACTGAATACATGTCTCAAGCTGAATCAATAGGCATTCCTAAGACCCGTCATGAGGGACGAACTGCTGGGAAGGGTACAATAGGCATAAAATTGAAAAGCATGATGCGAGAAGAAATGCTTAAAGCACATTTGTATATATTGAACAACACTGATGAGGTTTTACCTTATTTAAATGCCCACAAAGACTTAGTGAAGACAAACAACCCTCAAATGCCTGAAAAATGGGTGTTGAATGAGCATAACAAGACTTTCATAGAGTGGTTTAAAATGAATGTTGGGACAGATTTAAGTGTTTCTGAAACTTTACAATGCTTAGCTCAAGGACCTAACTTTGATGTGTTTACTTTCTGTGGATATGACATTAACAACTACTCATTTTATACAAAGGCACAGGATGACAAGAGTACTATGCAAAATAGTGGGGTTATGATAGTTGCTCAATCTATGCATTTCTCAACAAAAAATGATAACAACCCTATCACAGCTTCTATGTGCTACTTTGGAGTTATTGAAGACATATGGGAGGTCGATTATGGTCCATTTCGAGTACTTGTATTTAAATGCAAGTGGGTTGATAGTAATAGTGGTGTCAAAATTGATGAACTTTGATTTACTTTGGTCGACCTTAATAAAGTTGGTCATAAAGAAGAGCCTTTCATCATGGCTTTCCAAGTAAAGCAAGTATTTTATGTCACTGATCCATCTAATAAAAGGTGGTCAATTGTTCTAAAAGGTAGAAGTAACAATGTAAATGAAGAATTTGGAGATTTAAGTAATATAATTGATACTCCTTCCTTGTCAACACGTGTGCTAACTTTTAATGAAGATGATGTGGATGATGTATATGCCACTCGTGAGGATCATCAGGAAGGAATATGGGAGAACAATGAAACTTGATCATATTTTTGAAATAGGTTATTGTTATTAATTTTTATTTATGATGCTATTTTTTGTTGTCTTTTAAGTACAATATGTTATTATTTAAATTCAATTTATACTAATGACTTGTAATTTATTTTTCAGTTAACAAGTAATTATGGATGAACATCAAGCCTCTCCTTCAGGTAGTACACAATCTACAAATAAGAAAAAAGTTAGAGGTCCCACTAAAATGAAACATGTTACAGCCAAACGCCTTAATGAAGAGAGATTACATGTTGACATAGATGAGATCACTAGGCATCCTACAGGGGATTCAGCTGCCCAGTTTATGAGTACCATGGGGGTTCATGCTAGAACAAAGGTTTCTATTTTATTGCCCAATAGGGATCATGTAGAGGAGGCTGTAAAAAATCATATTTGAGCAGATGTTATGGTAAAATGTTATTTATACTTAACATTTTTGTTATTAAACTAGATTAGGATATCAACATGTATTAACTTATTGTTATCTTTGTAGGAAACTTGGGACATTCCAAAAACAGAAAAGATGAGAAGGAAAACCCTTTCTATTGTGGCTGAAAGGTGGAGGGCATATAAAACTACTTTGACAAACCAATACATTTTTGGAGAAAAGAAAGGAGAATTTCCTGGTGATAAAAATCCCACTATTGATCATGAGACATGGAATGCATTTGTAGAGTCTAGAATGACTGAAGAGTTTACAGTATGTTATGACTATATGCATTACCATTTGTGAATATTAATTTTTACCCTTACTCTTATAATATGATATCTTTATAGGAGAAAAGAAAGAAGGCACAACAGACGCAGGCAAATAATGACACCTTTTGTGTGATGTCACGTGGGGGTTATCCATGGCTTAAGAAGAAGTTGATGAAGGAGAAGACTATGAAACGTCAGGCTAGTGAAGATGAGACTGTAGTTAGTGATCCTCCTTCTCCACCCACACGTCATGAATTATGGAAGTTTGCTCGTATTAAGAAAACGGGCGAGTTTACAACTGAGGCAGCAAAAGAGATTGCTAGCAAGATAGTAAGTATAATTTTGCTATACATATGATGCTAATTAACATATATTTCAAAGGGTTTATTAAATTTTTGGTATCTTATATTGTAGAATGTACTAAAGCAGCAAGCTGAAGAGGGATCTTTTGTTTCCCATGGGCAACATGATATACTAACTATTGCCATTGGGAAGCCTGAGCATGCAGGTCGGGTTCGGGCAGTTGGTGGAGGTTATGGTTTGCGGACTTACTTTAGACAACCATCATCTTCACAGTCATCTAGCTCAGTTGAACAATTGGTGGAACTGAAGGTCTCTCAAGTTGTAAGTCAGATGAAAGAGGAGATTCATAGGCAGGTGAAAGAGGAGTTTCATAGACAGATGAAGGAGGACATGCAAAGGCAACTACAAGAACATTTACAGTCACTTAGGCAACAATTTCAGCACAATACTCCATTGATTGAACCAGTTATTACACGTGTGAGTACAAAGGGATCATGTGCAGGTGCTGATCCCTCTACTACTACTGTTGACCCTGATACCTCTAATCGGTGTGAGTTGTTTGTCGATGCATCACCCGATCCTGTTGGCTTAGGGAGGATTCACATGTTTGGATCTACTGTGCACCATCAGACCATAGGAGATGATATGGTTAGGGTTTCAGTAATGGATGTTAGACATCCAGAGGCAAGAGTTCCTGTGCCGACAGAGGAGGTTCAAATGATGGGACAAGCCCTAAACACCTTCCTTCAGTGGCCTCAGAGTTTGGTGAAGATGATATCTTCAGAGGTATGTTATTTAAGTAATATTTAATTTTAACTTAGTGTTATTTTCTTCTAATTTAGTATAATATCAAAATTATATGTTGTTGAATAGGATGTTGTTGCCCCACCAAAGGATAAGGAGAAGGTTGTGGTTACCCATTCAAGAAATCTACCTCCGATAAAGAGGCTATGGAGATTAGTCACAGATATGGAAGATGACGATCGACCCAAACAAGTCCCTTGGCCACATGTGGTGTTTGGCAGATCTAATAATATACCTCTATATATAAGTCAAAGTGACATATCAGAGATTATTAATGGGCACTGTATGCTGAACATATCAATTTTGCAATTGTGGTTATTATAAGTATTTTAATGAATTCCATTTTTGTTTTGTTGATTTATTCTAACTTTGTTTCTAACCTTGTAGATATATTCATAAATTAAGTGTCAATAAGAAAAATGACCACATTTATGGATATTTGGAACCCGAGTCAATCCAAAAAAGTGGGAACAAGGCAGAAGAATCGCAAGCTTACATCCAGAATTGGATGGTTGACTCAAATAAAAAAGTTTACCTAGCCCTTTACTTTTCTGAGTAAGTTATCTTTACCAATAATTGATTACAAAAAGTTTTAAGAGTGTATTCTATCTCAACATATGTTTCTCAATGTAGTGCTCATTGGCAACTAATGGTTATTTGTCCTATGGAAAATAAAGTTGTATGCATTTGTTCCTTGCATAGACCTTCGCCTGCAGCGTTCAAACAATTATTAGATAAGTAAGTATTTTAAAAACAACTACTTTCTTTTGTTGATTATCATTACATTTGATTTTAAACCATTATAATAATGTTATTTTATTATCAGAGCAATGGAAGGATATTACATACTCAAGGGCTCAAAATTGAAGAAAAAAATGCTTTGGATATCTCTTAAAGTAGGTTATTTTAATTCCATGAATGATATTTAATCTAATGTATTTTATTTTTATTATCCTTACTATTGAAATTGATTTTTATATATTTTTTTGTAGTCTCATAAGCAAAAGGAAAACTTTGAGTGCGGATATTATGTCATGAAGACAATGCATACTATTGTTGATTTAGACATAGTATCGGGTTGGACTGATGTGAGTTTTATAATTTTCAAAATTCTTATTTTAAGTTTTTTTATTTTATTATGTTTTATGAATTACTTCTAATTCTATTAATTTTTCTTTCCAGATATTTATTGATCGATCATCATTGCCACAAGAAGTCTTGAATACCATTAGGGACCAATGGGCTACATTTTTTCTTGACACATTGATTAGTTAGGACTTATGTTTATAGTTTTGGACATAGTTAAAACTCCTTTTCCTTTGGAGTATAAATATGATTGAGATGTCATTTATATGAAGTGATTTATAGAAATTGTGCATCATTGAAATTGTCTGAATTATCTGATTTGCAGGTTTTATATTGATTCTTTCAAAAAACAAGCTAATTATTAAAAAAAATCACCACCTTTAAAATCGGTTATACCTTACCTGAACTTTCAAAATCGGTTATGCCATAACCAATTTT